ACTACGAGCATTTGCTTAGTATTTGTTTTTTTTTTGGTTTATTTCAACTTCTGTTAAAGTTTCTTGTAATGAACTTCTATTCTTGATAAAATTAATAATGCTGGACTGAGTTATGAAATCAGAAGATGTTAGTTGGTAATCCTCAGTTGTGTGGTGATATTATTCGAATATTATAAGCGATTACCGAAATATGTCAGCTCCCATATCGTTCGTCTTCCGTTTCTTTTCCAACCGTTTGATATTGCTCATAACATTGACATTTTAATTGACCTTTAAAATGAATCTCCTTGACGTGTTTGATTGATGCATTTGTCGCACAAGAGTGGTAGTTTTTCATCGTCTGATTTTTTTGTTTTCACCATGCAAAATTGATTAGGTGCTTCCATATCCATCGGCGTTTATCCCAAACGTGCTGTTTGGTTTGCATGCAATCTATTCTAAACGTTTACTGCTCTTCACTGAAGTGAACTGCGATCTGCGGTTATTGTATATGAACGTGTTACGTTATTGTGTACCAACTCATTACCCTCATCTCTATTTATAAAGCAATATTTGTGATATTGGTGTATTGCTGTATTCGTATTGATATGTGATATGTGAGTATGGATCACGGCTAATTTATTACAAGGCATGTTGACTGGGCGTTGTCTTTTTACTGCGATCATAAAAGATTATTCGTAATTTCATGTTACTATCATTCTTTTGAAACCGTTGATATATCGGACTTATGAATATTTATTACTACCATACATAAATATTGCTACTTCTATGGAGCATTCCATCGCGTGTTGTCAACTAGTCATGGTGTAGTGTTTTGAAGAGTTGATGATGAGTTTTCCGAATTTGATGAGAATTGTTATTTCATTGATTCAGAAATGGATGGTGAATACTGGATATGCAGAGAATAAACGTGGATATGTCTTTTTTGAATGATATGCATTGCTTGGATCATTCGAAACGTTGTCGAAAACTGATAAACGTTCGAAACGTTGATAAAAACAACATGCGTATTTACATATGTGGTGGTGGGGTATCGCGGACTGCCTAATATCTAATCCACTCGTTAATTTTTTGGTTTAAGTTATTCTCATTGCTAACAGTGGATGTTCGTTGTTCGTCTGATTCCTAACATAGTAGTGTTTTGGTGTAGCGCTTTCAACCATTTGAAGTATGATGACTTCGCTCGACTGGTTTAATGTAGTGGGGTTGGACGTGGCCGTTAGACAACGCTCGATTGATAAGTTTTTTGACAAGTTTGATAATGCAGTGCTGTATGAGTAAAGATAAGCAGTTAGCGGTAAGGGTGTGTGATTAATGTTTAAAAAGAATTATCAACATGAAAGGAGAACGACTCTCAACACCAACACTGATATCGTCTCGTTTGGTTGAAGAGGCAATTGCTTGTTTCGTCTCGTATCGTTTAGGGATTATTTGGGAACTTTGAATCCCAATGGCTGATTAACTTTTGTCAATTGAAGGAAACGAATGAGACGAGTTGAAAACCTCGTCGGGGTGTATAGTTAGCTTTTGTTGTCGTTGAGCGCAGTAAGTTCACGCTGTGGCTATTCTCTGCACCTTTTGTGAGAATTGTGAAAAAAATTCTGGCCGTTTTTGTTGAATTTTAGGGAAAACGTTAAGTGTACATCAAAGCGAGAATGGCATGAAATTATCGGTGCATTGCGTTCAACTGAACGGCGATGCATGCACAAGTTATTCTGAATTTAATTGTATCGTTGTTCGAGTAAATAAGGATCGCGTTCTCGTCATTCAGTAATGTTCAAAATAAACTTCAAATTATCATATTTTTTCAAAGATTTGAGTAATCACTAATAATTCAAATGCATAATTTTGTTGTTCAGTCGAATTTCCAGCTAGAAAGATGGATGGGTGGATATTTTGTAACGCGTAAATATTCGAGTGTTTGTCGGAGGTGTGGTTGGTGCATTTGTTGAGTATTTGTCATTTGTGTGTTCAGATTGCGAACATCAAAGTAAAATCAGTTTTGTCGACGAGCGTATTATGAAAGATGATAATTCTCAGTGTACGGCTGAAGGTAAAGTTAAAGTCAAACGGAAAGCGCCAATTAAAGTGAGTGACTGCTGATATGAGGGATTATCCCGGTGCTAGTGAATTAAGCTCTAGTTATGACGTTATTCTGTTGTCATTTCCATAAATTTACGATTGTACCTCAGTTTCCAATTCCACAGAAATTTGTCACGACTTCCGAATGAGCAGTTTCAAGTGAATGTTGATGATTCGATTTCAATTGATTTTTGAAATACAGTCGCCGGAAGATAACTATTGGTTTTGCTTGTTAACAAAGAAGCGCACCTTCTCGCTATAGTTTGAAACTTAAATTGTATTTGTTTCAAACTCAGTCTTATCAAAAAANAAAAAATATTAAGCAAAAGCAATCGTTTTTAGGTGGTTTTGAGACGTCTCCCACGAGACATGACATGGAAGGAACTTCAGATTCAATTGGATCCTATTCCAGAGACTGAGTTCACTCAGTTTGTTGCCGTTAATGCAGAGTTGGTGATGTTGATTTCGATATATTTATATGAAACTTTATGAAGGTATGGTTGATTTGTGATATTCCTGCAGGGACGGTCTTGAAAAATGTTTGCGGAAGTTATTGTATCTTTATTGAAAGATTAAGAACGAATCAGATTGTGAACTAAGTTTGCGAAATATTCATCGAAGTGATTATTTTAGGGATTCAAAATTCGCAAACCCTCGAGCCTATTTTGTATTCAAAAACGATGAGGATATAGAGACATTTCGTGATCGTTTTAGTGGATACGTTTTCATCGATTCGAAAGGTACTCATTATTATTAGATTCGGATGTTGTTCGTTTGCTGTGTCACGTATCTTATCAGACGATGAACGAAGTTAAGGAAGTGAAGGAGTTGGTTTGGTTGAATTAGCACCCAATCCAAAGGTTTCGAGAAATAAAGTTGATGATTCAAAAAAGCGAGATCGAAAGTGTGGAACTATTGATACAGGTTTCTTTCATGATTAAATCTCCGCTCCGTTTTTTTGTTGATATTATTCTACCGATTCTAACTTTGTTTTCTTTCACTTTTGCGTCGATGGTATTTGTATGAAGCCGGCTTATGACCTCACTTCAAGCATTGTATGAAACGAGGAGAATGCACTTTGCAGTCATCAATAATTCAGTATTGATGAATTTTTGCAGATTTGGAGTATAAAAAATTTTTGGACGATCGTGAAAATGCGAGTAAAATAACAATCGTACCAATCGAAGAACGTATCAAAGAAGTTGAATTGAAGGAAAAGAATGCCCACGGTAAAATATTTGTGAGGAATTTTACGTTCGAGTTTTTATGTAGCAAACGGTAAATTGTAATCCATGTTGTGATGATGATATATCTTCAAATGAGTATATTTGCATTTTTGACGACATTACTAAAGTAATTACTTTGTTGAATGCATTTTAGCATTGATCGCAATTGAATGTAAAATTATTTTGTGTTTATTGTTCGATTGGTTTTAGAAAATGCTATCCAAGAAACTCCGCTCACGCAATATTTACTGCGCAGAAGTGAAGAAAAATATAGAAGGATTCAGGTAGGTTCTTTACCGAATAATATAAAGAGTGCATTTGGTAGTGTAATTTTTATATGTTCACATTTTGTTTGATGATTGCGTTTTGAATCGATATGACGTTATCATTATTTGGTCAATATAATATTTATTTCAGAATTCTTTTAATAATAACATAAGAAATGATCACAAACAGAACACGGAAAAGTTTTATTGAATTAAGGAAAAACGTCGTAATCGGGAAGAAGAGAGGCGTTTAAGACTGCAAAGACTTTACGAGAAAGAGCAAAAAGAAAGAGCTGAACGTGGTGACGGAAAACGAGTTACGGAATTTCGAAACTCAAAATTCGAACGTGCTCCATTCAAAGAGAAATATTTGTAATGCTTAATTATGATTGCGCATGAATATTATATCATTTAATTAGCCATTTAATTGGTCGTCATTCGCAACAGTCGATCAGAGTCAGATAGTCGTCTTTGTTCAATTCATTGATTAATTGTTGATAGCAACTGGTTCAGGGATCGCGAACGAAGAGATCGAGAAAGGGATAGAGATCGGCATCGAGATAAAGATCGAGATCGACCAAGAGAGAAGGATCGGGATCGAAACAGGAATAAAGATAAGGATCGGCGTCGAGATAAAGATCGAGAGAGGGGTGTAAGTGGCTCGAAGAAAGATAGAGATCGAGAAGATGGATCCGAAGAGCGAGAGTTGACACCATCGAAGAAGTCGGAAAGAGTTTGCAGAAATGAGCGAACGATGGCAAGAAAGGAACGTGATGATACGCAGGGTTAGTTATTGATGTGAATTATTATGAACATAATAATTTGTTTGTTCAGGTGGTAAAGAGAATGTGGCACGGAGCGAAAGGATATCGAAGAAACAGGAATCGAAGGGAGTTGTTGACGATAATAATGCCGAGGCGGCAAGGTCGAGTAGCGAAAAACAAGAGAACGGAAACGATGTCAATGAAGGAGCGAAGTCAGTATCCAATACAGTGTTATTTTTATTGCGATACTTGTTAATGTTCATTGAGAGTGTTGAATTCCAGTGAAGATTTAATGAAATCAGAATTGAATCACTCATTTGCGTTAACCAGGCTTATTAAGCAGTTACATCAATGCAGTAACCTTGATAAAATTCTGATATTCAAACTCTGAACGGAAAGAATTCTCTATTATCAGCGTGTAATTAGTAATTGTTCGGTGTGGGCATTGAATGGTTGAAAATGGTCTGATGGGTTTGTTCCATTTTAGAGTGAAATCAACAGTCATTACTCCAAGGACAGTTATGAGTCGTACAAAAGAAACAACAGCGGAGAAGAGTGAGACTAAGGAAACAGAGAAAAGTGATTCGGTTGCCCCGAAACAACCCCGTCGAGCGAGGGTTCGCTCTTTTCAATTTACATATTTCTGAAATAAACAAATATATCAGGACTATTCAGCACGATTTCAACGTTTTCAAACATTTATCAGGATTCAGGAAATGAACTGAAAATGAGTCGAATATAAATGCTTTTCAGGATCGTCCCGAACGTGCCATATATCAGCCAGGTGCTTTGAGGCGACGAGCTGCCGCACTCAACGCAGCAGCTGCATCTTCATCAGCCCAAAACACGGAATCGACGAAGCATTCTGAACGAGCATCGTCCACCAACCCGAAATCAGACTTGCACGAGTCGTGAATCTGAATAGAGTTGGGTGTTATTTCGTTGTTGATATGGGAGTTTAGAAATTCGTTTCGAAAAGGAAATCATTCGCACAATCATCTGCGAATAATAACGTTTTGATGTTACGGAACGTACTTGTTTCAGAAATGAACTGAAAAACAATTGATTGACATAGAAATAACGTATGTGAATTGATGATTGTAATGACAAGATCGTTGTGAACAGATCGATAGTGCTGTTGATATGCGTTGTTGGTTGTTCGTTTGATTTGTATTCGTGATAACATCACCAGAAATATGACGCATTGATCAGTGACGGATATGGTGAATTGATTGTAATATACTCGATCTTTATTTGCCGTTCTATTATCAGTTTGAATGCTCAATAAATATGTCATTCAGCAGGATCATATTCTGAGTTTGGATCTTGTTACGATATGATTATCACTTTTGTTCAATTGCTTGATTAATTGTCCATCAATTGCCTTTCTCATTCTGTTATTTGACGTTTTACTTGTGTCCGTGAATTCTCAGTTGTTCGTCATTGTTATAAATGATTTTTTGGTCGTTCACTTTCAATGAATAATAAATTTCGAATAGATTCCACAAAGTGAGAATAATGAAGAAGAATTTAGGTGAACGGGTCAGGACTATCAAGAATGCGGTTGTCACTTTGCCGAGGTCACTCGAGTATGGAAGTGACTTGAAACAATGTAAATCATGAACCACTAGCACAACCACCGTAGTATTCATTTTCATCAAGTTGATGCGTTGTTGTCGGTATGAAAAATAAAAAACTGTGGACGTGTTGAAGTTAAAATCCAATTTTGAAATTTCCTGAGATCAAACCTTCACTGTTTTTCGAAAAATAATGTTTGTAATAATTCAAATGAGCTGCTAAAAGTTCTCGGTTTGATGATTGACACAGTTGTGTGTTGCGAAATATTGCTAATGAGAGTAAGACGACTGACAGGCTCGTCTTTGTATTAAGAGGTTCTGAGATTCGTAGTTTAACTCTGTTGATTAAGACTTTTACAATTTCAATTAATGTCAGTTATTTTCGAAAAACACTTTATTGCGATCGAATACGCGTCTGATCTGTCGAAACACAAATGTCTTACAATTAGGTTTGTGCACGTTTACACAGTGTTCAGCGAATACACAACGAGAAACGACAGAATTTCAACAAAATGGAATTTGGTTAAGCTTACCATGAAAATTTCTGAGTGCAAGAATTTGGGGTTATTAAATTGAAATGAAAAGTGGACATTTTACGAGTTTTTTAAAGTGTACTTTCCTCTATAAAACGTTTTAGTAATGTAATATATGAAGGGAAAAGACTCGTTTCACTTTCTACATGAATGGGACAACAGATTCATTATGAAGAAGATGGTACGAGATGTTGCACGTGAGAAATTTGATGTGCTGAGAACGAGTGTAACATCTCGAAACCGTCAGTTTACTTGCAGTGATAATGATCTACTTGAACGTTATTGCTGCACGATGAAGTGATAAGTTTTGATCGAATTGAGATGCTGTTTTCGTTGCTGAATGAGCGATTAGTTGCGAGTAGTTTCGGGTGAGTTGCAATCTGAAGGGTGGATAACTGCGATGTACTTCTGTTGAAAGAGAAGGCGTTCAGTTCCGAGAAGGAGATGATGCGTGCGATTTTGCGAATGATTCAGAGGTTGCTTTAATAGAGTGGACTGTGCTTGCGATGACGAGTTTTAACAAAATCTCGGGATTAGCAGTGACTGCAAAGGATCATAACTCTTTAAAAGTAAGCAACTTTGTAAGTGGAAACTTTTATTCGGAAAAATTGAAAGAATATTGTTTAAAATACATTCAGTGTTGATGAGAAACTTTCAAAATCACTGAAATATTTTCATCAATTTGCAAGTTCTGAAAGTTTGCATTGAAGCAGAGTGAAATTGAAGCGTTTGACATCACCAAGCAAACACACTGACATCCACGACAAATCCGTGAATTACCCATTCGCGGTATTTCCTTGAATATAAGTCTCCTTCAAATAAGTTTTCGATGTAAGTTACGGAAAATATTGCCTCCACTCGACTGAATGCCGATCCTCGAGGAAATCTGCTCTCGCCTTCCCCTCTCTCCCGCACCTCTCCCACCTCTAAACGAAAATATGCTGAGAGTACAGAAAAAACGATCTACGGAAATTTTTCAGCGAAGATCCTGCAAAAATTAGGTGCCACGTTTCCCCTCCCTTTCGCCCCCCCCCCCTTCCCCACCCGCGTTTCTGTCTACAAATAGAAACCTCTTTTCGGAAGGTTGTGATGAATGAAAACTCGAGACTTATATAGAAGGGAGACGTTATATATATATGAACGTAAATGATGACAGTAATAATATTTCATCAGAGTATATATAAAGGTAATCGTATAACTCCTCCGAATCAAGTCGGTATATAAAGGTAATCGTCGCTGACAACAATTGTTGAACGTCTGCTGTACGATTCGAGCGCTTGCGCAATGTCTATGGATGCTACTAAAATATCATTAGAATTATACAAATGAATAAATTTGAATCGATGAATAAACAAATTACAACATTTATGGAATATCTTATTGTAGTGGCACAACCAGCGATCAATCCACCACCCTCCTTTCTCCTCCCGAAATTCTGAGCAGATGAACTGAGCGAGCGGAACTAAAGAGTTTAAAATTCACCCCTTTCATGCCCTTGCACCATTCCTTATGATCCCACACATATACACACGTCTAGCACTACTCGAATATCGCTGTCGTTTGTCAAACATTCATTTCCTGTACAACCTAACCTACCAGCATGATCATATCATATAAGTGTATGTACGAACAGTCGTTAGGTCTTATAGTTTATGTAATAATATTTTGCGGTCATGAACTGAACTTACGATTATTGCCCTATATTATAGAAGGTAAAAAAACAAGGATACAGGAAACTTCAAATGAATTCTCCATTGCGAACGTAAGGATCGGAGACGTTTGGACTGACACAGCTCCTAACTTGAACGGTCACAAATCTGAGAAACGGTCACAAATAAAGGAGAATATAAGCCGTCTTCTTCATATTCATGGGTGCTTTTTGAAGAGAGATGCACGCAGGTCAAGAGAAGCACGAAGCGATGTAAATTTACTAGATTTCTGATGTTCTGTACAAATTTACGGCTCTTGAACGCGAAAGTTCAGCATAAATGACTTCGAGAATTTAGCTGCTTAAAATATTCTTAACCGCACAAGGGAACGCACTGTAAATCTTGCGACGGGTTTGTTGTCAGAAAAGGGTCGTAAATAATCGTAAATTGTTGAAACGTCTTTGAAAAATGGAAACAAGCTGAAGAAGAGCTGTGAAGTCGTGGAGGAAAGAGTATCATGAAGAAGCTGTTCGAAGAGCGTCTAATTTTCTAGCAGTCCAAAAACAGAAATGTTTGTTGAACAAATTGTTACGAACGAAATATATCAAACCAAAGAAAATTTACAAAAATTAAGTCCTGTGATCAACACTATCATTTTTTGTGGGAAAAAGGGGCTACATCGGAGAGTGTGAAGAAAACTGTTTCCCCTCTAATTTTTCACGTGGTTCCCGGGAGTGCAAAAACGAAAATTTTCAAGGCTGCCAGCAAAACTGAACGTTCGGGGATGGGGGGGGGGGGGTTGGGGGAGGGGAAGGCGAAATTTTCTTCTACGTACGCCACTACCTTATTGCGAGAATGACTTTTAAAGTTACGCAACTGAAATTAATGAATACCTGAAATAATCGCTGTTATCAGGGTCAACTACCTCTTGGAAAGGAGAAGGGGATAGTCTTTAATTCGGATGTAATTTTCCTCACTTTCAGCGATTTTTGCTCAATTTTCATTTATTCTCTTTCAAAGAGTCAACAATAAGAGCGCTTAAAAGCGAAAATCATCCCAGACGCCCGTGGAAGTTTTCTTGAGAACGCCGTGCAAAGGGAATACACATTTTCGAAGTTTAATTCCGCAAGTCATCATAATATGGAGAACCTTATCCGCACATCATATTTATTTATCCTTCAGTTTACTGAATGGATGTGCAACACATTCATATTCAATAGAACATTCCTCCGCTTACCTTTATCAGATGTTAATGAAGCTCTCACAGATCTTTTCTTGTGTACAAGCCATCGAAAAAATGCGAATGTTATGTACAGGCAATTCGTTTCGGTTATTACGAACATACTTAATAATGCAATTAACAATATAATTGGCCATTCAAACCAGATACTTCCTTAAAGTGTTGTTTTTCATTTAAATTTATAAATTTATTCTTTAGATCACTCCATTCTAACACGTAAGAACTGCATTTGTGTTGATTATAATCATTCTCATGCAGTGCATCAGATCCAGTGCATTGCACAAACTGCTACCAAGAGATTATAATCATATTCGAACAAAATATTCCCCGTGAAATTCATCCAGAAATCCCCAAGTAAGCTCAATCGCATGTTCGTATATGCAGCTACACTGTCAGCTATCGTTATATACATATATATAT